TTCCCTTTGCTGCCCTGAGTGAAAAGGAGGGAGCCGAATACCTGTCGGAGACTCATAGGATCCGTGTCATTCCTTCTTTGACAACACTCAAGATCATTCAAGATAGTCCAGAGGACTATCACAGCAACACTGATGCCTTGATAATAGGCAATCCCAAGGTTGATTGGCTGCCACCATTGCCAGGTGCAAGAAAGGAAGCGGAGATGGTCGGACGACTGGTGGGTGTTCCGCCTCTAGTAGGAGAGAAAGCAACGAGGCAGGCGGTGCTTGAGCGGATAAGTTCAGTGAGCCTGATACATTTTGCTGCCCATGGTGACGCCGAAAGGGGAGAAATTGCCCTCTCCCCCGTTCCTACTTCCAACAGTGGAAACGCTACCCAACCAAAGGAAGATTACATGTTGACGATGGCTGATGTCTCACGAGTGAAAGTCAGAGCCAAACTGGTGGTACTTAGCTGCTGTCACAGTGGAAGTGGAGAGATAAGAGCCGAGGGAGTTATAGGAATTGCCCGTGCGTTTTTAGGATCCGGTGCTCGCTCGGTGTTGGTTGCGCTGTGGGCCATTTCAGACAAAGCAACAGAGAAGCTGATGAGTCGGTTCTACAAACACCTTGTTGAAGGAGAAAGTGCCAGTGAATCCCTTCATCAGGCCATGAGGTGGATGAGGAAAAATGGCTTAAGCGAAGTGTCTGAGTGGGCTTCGTTTACGCTGATTGGAGATGTGAGGCTCGAGTTTGACAAGCAGAGGTAAGACTTGATGAGAACAGGTATTTCATAAATTAAAGTTAAATTAAATGTGAAGGTGGCTATGACTTACTGTTCGCTGACTGTCGGCAGTTATCCTTTGTCACCTTGAATATCAAGGCTAGTTTTATATCTTTTTTTTTGTTTCTTTCAAAGAGTAACAATTTATTCTCCCAGTTAGGTGTAAAATATAGAATTTCGAAAGCGTCTCTCTGCCAATCAGATACAAGTGTACATTTGCCTACATATTGCGCCTGGTATAACTGTATTTGCTTTATTTAAGAAATGTTGATTGTGTTATTTATAATTGTTTTTTACGTTTGTCACAGGAAAAAAGATGAGAATATCTCGAAGTAAACAGACCTTAGAGACTTTTAGCTGGATAAACAAATAGAATAAGTAGAGAAAATACTCTATCCGTTATTTCATTGTGTAATTACAGAAAGGGCAATCTCAAATTAAGCATATTGATTTTAATTTTTTGCTTTCTCTTTTCCGATCTTCTCAGAAGGAGGTATTGGTTACGTATCCGAGAATATTTTTTTCTGCACGAAAATTATCTTATCCGGCCGATATAATTAGCACGAAACATTATTGACTTATACGGCTCTTAAGTGAAGTGAAATCAGGAAAGTTAAAACAGTAGTTTAAGCATAAAAAACGAGCCAGTTAAGTCTTACAGGGTTTTTCCTCAAAGCCTTTTATTATAGGTTAAGTTAACAGAATCCTAAATTTTTTTATGTAAAATCTTTCCGGAAAGTTTTTCTTTTGGTGAGTTCCAGTACTACTTCTGAGTGCTTAAAAGACTGGAAAAAATACATGGATTTCCAAACAGAACCATGGAAAAAGCTTTCAAGGTCAAGAACTTAATCAGTATCAAGTGGAAAAATGACGGCAGCAATATTTTGAAACTGGTTGAACAAGTCACTTAATTACGTATTGTAATGTTTGAGATAATGTATGTTTGCACAGTGATTTAATTGTTTTCAAGTCAGGTTATTGTCAAAGTGTTGTTTATGGAATCAAAATATTCTTGTTATTTACCACAATTTATACACTTTTTTGGGCAAAGTTTCTTAGAGGATTATGCAGTAATTCCAAAGACGCTAAAATAAAAGATGGCTTAAGAAAAATTTTAGACAATATCGTGAACGTTTGTTTTAACCAGGTTACAGAGTAAAACAGATAGCACTGTTGTTCATTGTTAAGGCGGCAAGGTGGTGGGATAAATGATGCAAGTGGTAGGAGTGTCTGCTGCGGTCTACTGACGCGGATAGGAATGATTAATGCTTGCTTCCGCAGAAAACATCAACAAACGCTATGATCGCAAGAAAGTTGTTTTGTTTCTCAATGCTTTTCAGCGCATTTCTTTGATCGTTTCTCCTCAACCCATGTTACTTGATACTTGTCTTATAATCAAAAAAATTCTGGCGATGAAGTTCTGGTGATTAGTATGCTAACGTCGAATATTAGTTCCAGTATTAAATAGCAATCCAAGCCGCAACAGTTATAGCGTCAAAGATCATAACAAATTATGGGAGCCAAACGAGTTTTTCGTCCCTTCATTTGACGAAAATTACGTTAACTTCAACATAAAAACTTGAGGCATAAATAAGTGATCACATGCACGAAAAAAAGTTTGACCATGTCACGTGTTCTTGATAGGGTGTCCTTCTCATTTCCTTCTTTAACAATTTCTAAGAGCGTTTAACATCACGCTAATTATTCCGAACGTTAACACCTGAAATATTTGAAAGGAAGCGCCAGTGCCTGAAAGCACCAGAGATGTTGGTGAAATAACTTAAAACGTTGGCGAAACGACCTAAGACGTTTTTATAGCAACAGCTGGTCGTTAAAGAAACGACCCCCAAGCAAAACGGTCGCAATTTCCCGATATAGATCAGACTTAACCGCTGATAGCCATTCACTCGTGGAAAGCGGAAGGAACCACTACTACTAAAAAAATCTGCGTCTAATGAAGTCGATATTTCCGATTCAGTCACTACCGGTCGACGTTACAGCCGGCCAGGTTACATTTCTAGCCTAAACAATAATGGCGGCTGCTAGCGAGTTTCCGACAGAACTGGCGACCCGTCCTTTGGGCCTCACAGCTCTTATGGGACTTGATATTAATCAGAAACCTTTGCACAAAGCTATCTGGGAGTCTTTTTCTGTGAACAGGCATCCTGAGAGAGTTCCACTATCCTTCAGACTTCTACCAATTGATCACGAATTTCCCAAAGCAAAATCAAAGGTGAGCTTTCCTATCGCTTTCAAGTGTAGTTACTCTTAAATCCTTTGATTACGTGAAATTCTTCTTATTTTGGTTACATTTAAGCTCTTTCAGTATAGTTTATTTAATATACTTTTCCCAATACATTTCCTAAGGTGCTGATGAATATTCTCCATACTTTTCTCAATACTTTCCTAAGGTAACAATCAAGAGCTGTAGTTGGTGATCATTTCCTGTATTCTCATGACCTTAGCTTAAGGTTTGATTCTGGGGTTGTATAGCAAAGAGAAATTAGATGCTAAAGGGTTAAATGGACACTATTTTTGTACAGCAAGGGGTGTCTGCATAGGAAGCTGCCACTGTTTCTTTTTCTTATATAATTTTATAAAGAAAGTTCTATGAGTGATTTCCACAAAATCATTTAGAAGAGTTTATCACAAATCAATCATACTCCTGGGTTTTTTTCCCAAGGAAGCATTCTCTTGCTTCCTTGAGTTCTGACTTTCTCAAACCTTTCACTCCAAAGATTTCCTTAGTAATTCTCTGTACTGTCTGGTGTACAATTCTTAGGATGTTAGTTCAGAGAATCTGGAATTGGATCAACTAATGATCCTGTAATTTATTTTTTTTCCTTTTTTCTCATTGCTTGTTTGCTTGATATTGCATTGAAATTTTAAAAGTAAGTTCTGTCTCCATCACTCATGGGATTTGAAGTGTTAACCCTTTAACTCCTAAGATCTGATTGTTAATTCTGCCCTCCAGCTGCTACAAATTTCCTTGTAAATTAGTTATAAGAACTTGATGCTAGATCAAGATAGTATCTTCTACCTGATAAATTTGAATATTCTCATTACCTGTTTGCTGAATAATGTTTGGATATCATAGGGAAAAGTTTCATGTTAATCACTTCTGGGAGTTAAAGGTTTAAGTGAACATCTTTGTTGGTGTGCAAAATCTTAGCAGATAGCCATTAGTGGGGTCAAAAATGATAAGACCTCTCACAGAAGCAGTAGGCCTCCTGTAACCAGAGTTACTGAGACCTCTGCTTATGTGAGTATATGCTGGCTTTTTATCACTGAGTCTTGTTTCCTTGTAGCGTTCTACCTATGAGTGGTACATACCAAAGGGTATCTTGAAGACAAAATGGATGCACAAACATCTTTATCTCTCTCCTGCTGTGGTGGTCATGTTTTATGAGTTGGATTGGGATGACGTTCAGTGGAAAGACAGGCAAACTGAATGTGCTTCAAAACTAGAAAGAGTCAGGTAATAACAAGAGAGTGAGAATTTTATCTTACCCCTCTATAACAGTGAACCTTAATCAGCACTAATGACATGACTGAAAATTATTAATAAGTATTATGACAAGTGTAGTTTGATTTTTAGGCAAGAGGGTTCCATTGTATGTGTTGATTTTTATGACATTGTACAACTCAAAAACTTAATTCCGTGCTCTCTGACAGATAAACACACAGAATAATATATCAAACTAACACGTAAATTTGAGCAGAAAACAATTGTTTAATTAACAAAAGAAAATGACTTTTGTCCAATCATCAGCTTAATTAACAATTCCTGTGATTTAGAGTGCAATTCAAATAACAACCGTCAAATAAGTTTGTCATAACAACAGTAAGTGTTCCTGACACTCTGGAAACCTCCTTCTTTACCAAGCGACAATCAGATACTTGTAAGTTATAATAAGAACATTACAAAACTCATCAACTCATCAAATGCAAAAAAAATACCCAGTACAATGAATAATTTTGGATTCTATAACTTCAATCCTACACATTTAAAGCAATCTTTTAATTTCTGAACAGGACCAGCCTTCAAGACCAGAACACTAAGGTTGCTGTGGTTCTTATCCAAAAGAATGCTCCTCTTCCTCCAGGTAAACATCAGTAAATACATAGAAGTCAAAAGATGATGTTATTAAGTAGAGAGTTTTAGATCCATGTGTAGTGTTTTCACTGCTAACGTCAAACCACAAGTGACTGCCAGGTCTATCCTATAAATCTGCCAGAGGCATTATGATGTTATTTACATGTCATTTATTGAGCTAGGCATGGGCTGGAAAATGGGGAAAAACTGTGCCCAAAGTCTTGAGTATGGCCCAAGACTGGTGTCTGTAATCGAGGTCAAGGGCACAGTTTCTTCCCACATAGAAAAACATGATTGTAAAACTGTATTTTAACAAGCTGGACCAGTTACTGGGGTACAATTAGCCAATCAGAGTCAAGAATTTAAGATTCCAGCCTGTTGACATGCTTCAGAAAAAAATACATTATTTCATATTAGTTCCTGTATCCAAGGATTTGAGTACCCTTCATGGAGGAAATTTATGCTATTATAATGAATCACAGGTGATGATTTACAAGCACTAGAGAGGGCAGCAACACTGTGCAGTGCATGTGACCTGTCAGCCAAATCATTGTTTGTCCTTCCACATACAGATCACTTGATTGGCTACACAATTAGGTATTTGTACAAAATTTATCATTTTAGTTTGATTTTGATGAGATTGGTTTTCATTGAGTTTGCAGTTGAATGTAAAAGCCCAACTTTTGTCAAATATAAGAAAAGATTTATTTAGTAAGAGTTTCATATTTTTTCTATTGTATTTATTCTAGCTGATCAAGAAAAGTTACAAAACAGGACACAATAAAGACTAACCCAGGTGGAAATCTTATTAAGATCTTACTAAGATTCTTGTAAGTTTCTTACTAAGATTCTTATTAAGATTCTTAATTAAGAATCTTGTAAGACCTTACAAGATCTTGTAAGATCTTGTCACAAGATTCTTACAAGAATCTTGTAAGATCTTACAAGATCTTGTAAGAATCTTGTAAGATCTTACAAGATCTTGTAAGAATCTTGTGGCAAGATCTTGCCAGATCTTGCAAGATTCTTGTAAGAATCTTGTGACAAGATCTTACCTGATCTTGTAAGATCTTACAAGATTCTTGTAAGAATCTTGTGACAAGATCTTACCTGATCTTGTAAGATCTTACAAGATTCCTGTAAGAATCTTGTGACAAGATCTTACCAGATCCTATAAGATTCTTAACTAAGAATCTTGATAAGTATCTTTGTAAGAAACTTACAAGAATCTTACAAGATCTGGTAGGATTCCTGTGACAAGAATCTTAATTAAATACCTTCAAAAGTTTTCAAAAGAACTTGTTAAGATTCTCAACAATGTCTTAATGATCTCTAAAAGAACTTACAAGAACTTGTGAGATTTTCAAACAACTTACAAGAATTTTTGCAGAATCTGTAAAAATTCTTAAATATCACATTTTTTTCAGACCATAGTAGGTAACTGATGGTTTATGCAATATGCATAACTGGATGATCGAGGAATGGAGATCACAACTAAGAAAGAATTTCTTCATCCAACATTTAAGCAAAATTTATTGCAAATTCTCAACACTGTGAAATTAATTACCAAAAAAGATCTTGATAAGAAACGTTAACTGGTAAACATGCACGATTTAAATGACAATTGTACAAGAAGAGTTCTTGTTCTTCCCTTCGGTGTGTTTTAAAAATCTAAAAAAACAATTGTTTTAATTGTTGGAGTCATTTGACAGTTTGATTTGAACTACCATAGTTATCCTTGCACAAAAAAGCCATAATAACTAAAGGCATGTCCCAGTTTTAAATTGTTCTTCGTTTGATTCAAACTGAAATAGTTTTTCTTTTTTTTAGAGTAATTTAAGCATGAAAACAAAAAAAACAAAAAAAAAATTTTGTATTGCAGCAAATGTGTTCAAAGAATTAAAGCTCACTATCACTCATCTTAGTTGGCATTTTAGTCAATTTGACGGCTACTTGACAAGTAAATTTGCATATATTTCAATTTTGTACAAATATCAACCAAGCCTTAGTTCCACGGACTTGTCAACATTGCCCTCTACATTTTGAACTTTTCTCTTGGAATTTTTTTATTCAAGTAGAGCCTTATTTGAGACCACCTCTTATTCATTTGGGCATCTCCAAATTTCTGTTTTATGGCTCCTGTGGGAAGAAAAAAAGAAAATAGTAATTTGTATACAGGTACAAAATATACTAAAACCTTGAGAGCGTATTTTTTAAAATCCCTGCCAGAGAGGAGTAATAGGAGTTTGGTTTCATTGTACATCTAAAATGAAATATAACATGTTAGGAGACAAGAATCAAGATTGGAAAAAAAAACCCTCAGTGTTTAAATAATTAAGTATCATAATCTATTGTCTGCAGTAGAATTGTTGCTCTGACTTCAATTCCAGCTTTCAGTAGCCTGACTTGTGAGGAGTACTTACTAAGGTAGAGGGGAGGAGCTTCTCAATGGTTCTCCTTGATCACCATCATGCCTCATCTGTACGCAAAGAAAAGGAGGTAGTGACTATCTTTAACAAGAATTTATCATCTTTAAGAGCAAAATTTTTATGCACAGGTTCCCAGTTATGAATCTTGGCAATTTGCACTGCCCAACTCCAATCCAACAAACTTTGTTTATGCTTTTCACTGCTGAAACAGCTATTCCAAATTCCCACAAAAAGTTTATAAATGAAAAATTACCTTTTTACAATCAGAGGAGTTGCCACCCTTCTATCCCATTCTGTGCTTGTAGCATTAAGATGGGACTCAAAGTCTACTTTATTCAGGATACAATCATTTTTACAGGTGATCCTATCTCTCCAGTTCTCCTGTGAATATGAATTGAAAAAATGTTTACATTTGTTGAGCAATCCCTCCACTGAATTAAGTTTCATTAACCTTTAGAACAAAGAAAATTGTGAGAAAGGGAAGCAGGGAATCATAACTCAGCATTAAATGAAAACCAGAAAAAAAAATACACACACGTTCACAAAACAAAACAAATAAAAACTAAACAGAACCAAACAAAATACAAAAAATGTTGCATGGAATTAATAAGGTATCGAATGTATTAGAGTAAAATTAACAGGATAACAGTGCCAAAATTCTGCCTTAAGCCATCTAAGTCAATGAAGTCTTGAAGAAGGGGGGGGGAAAATGAACTATCATGCACCAACATTGAATATTTAGAGTTCTTACATCATCAGAAGAACTTCCCATTTTTTGGTAATTTTTGTTTGCTTTGGGAAGATTCCCACCACTGTGGACACGGCCGTGATAATCAAACCCAGTCTGGCTTTCATCATCATCCTCATCAGTGGAAACTTTTAAGTAGAACGTGGCAATTTATAATTCATTATTTGGGAATAAAGGAATTCCATAATCGATTTCGCGTTGTTATTGCACCCTTCTAGTTTAACTTCTAGTGGTTATTAGTAAAGCCGAAGACAAATTAATTGTTTATTGTGAACCATTTCCATGCGAGACGACTGGAAGCTACGATGATTCTGCCTACAACACTTAAATCATCTGGATTAAAACTGACTTGAGAGAATTGCTACAAGTGCAGTAAGGTTAGCAGCCGCCGTTACGTGGTTTTGATGATGATAGCGTTACATCTCGTGTCAGTTTCCAGTCAATTCTAAACAAAAACGCTTCCTGACGAAATCGAACCCTAACGAGATTTTATGATTTGCCTTATATAAAAATACCGTGGCCTTGCAATTACATAAACTTAAAGTCACTTTTTTCGTCCATGCTGAAAGAATCTAAAAAAGTGCGAGAAATAAGTCTATCGCATCACCTTCCAGATGTGTAATGTTGATAACGTGAACTTAATGAATAAAAGTCAGTAGCACTTACCTTCGGGATGATTTGCCTTCATTCGCTTCAGTTGCAGTCGTGCACTAGTTGTTTTTTTAGAAATCTTCTCAAGATACTTAAACTACCAAGACCAATGTGTTCCTTGAGTTATAAAGCGAGTGTCGTGCACAATCATACGTGTGCTTTCTATGTGCTTAGATGTGTAAACTATTCACCTGAGGCCACTTCACGTGACAGAATAAAACAAGGATATCGCAACCTTGAATGTGTAATCGTGGTGTTCTTTCACAAGAAAAGCAAAACGCGATTTATCTTCTCTGGTGTGCTGTAAACTCATGTTACTTACCGACTGCGTCATTTTCTGTATTTTAAGCGACAGCAACATTAGTTATTTTGTAAAGAACTTGGCTTGTAAAATCCTAATTCTCGAGATCATTATTCTTCTTCAGGGCTTTAGACACAATTAAATTTTGCAACGAGGTAGATAACACTCAACCAAAGTAAAATTTCTGTAGAACTTTGCCGAAACGAAATGGCGCGAGAACGGTTGACAACAACGGTCGAGTGAACAATTTGTAATTTTGCGCCGGCCGAAGACTGGGGAAAACCTTAGTGAAAGTACAAAATGTCACGCAACTCTCGCAAGTATTTTGTAAGTAACTACCTATAACCTTTTTTAAAATACTTTTAATTTCTGCCATCTGACCGGTCTGCAAATTTCCGATGTTTATTTGTTAGTTATTTTGTAAAGAATTTGGTCGGTAAAATCCTAATTCTCAAAATCATTCTTCTTCTTTAGGGCTGTAAGGCACAGTTAAATTTCGCAACCAGGCAGATAACACTCGACCAAAGTAGAATTTCTGTCGAACTTTGTCCGAAACGATATGATGCAAAAACGGTTAACAACAACGATCAAGTGTACAATTTGCAATTCTGCGTATGCGCAGTGGCGTGGAATACCTTGGTGAAAGTACAAATTTCATGCAACTTTCTTGAAAAATATTTTTACAAGTAGCAAGCTATGAACTTTTTGTTAAATACATCTTTTCACTCTGCCATCTGGCTGGTCTGCATACTGCCATATTTTTTTTTTCTGAACCATATCAGCGAAAGTCTCTTGCTTGTGGAATGTGGTGACATTATCTATGGGTGTCTTTATGTTCAAGGCAAAGATGGAAAGGTTTAATCCCTTTCTAGACACTCCCTATGAACATGATTAGTGATTATTTAAACTAGCTGTTCAGTATATTTCATAATCAATCATCAAATGTAATCTGAAAAGTCTGTCCAAATTTAATCTGTTGATACCATAATTCCAGTGGAACAATTACCTCTTTAGAAAGCAGCTGCATGTGTATTGTGTTCTCAGGTCTGAAATTTGCACACCATACCATAGAGGCTTACTTGATGTTATGTGATCCCCTTTTGGACATGGGATTTTTCACATCATGTGTGAGAGGTTTTAAGCCTTATGCATCCCCATGCTCTCTTATGAACAGAACAGGATAAGCATTTCAAGTTACTCAAGAATGTACTGGAATAAACTTGATAAAATCTTGTCAAGAACATTTAAATTCCTACTGATCTTAAAATTTTGATTCTTACAAAACTCTTAGATGAACTTTAGATGAAATTCTGTCTAGAATCTTTATAATGTTACATTTACAGATCTTACTTAATTATTAAGATTCTTAAACAAACTTACCAAGATCTTGTCAAGAAGCTTGTAAGATCTTCCTTTTCTTAAAGATTAGGATTCTTACAACTGAGATTCTTAAGTGAACTTTATACGAACTATAAGAACTTTCAAGATCTTAATGCCCATGTGTTGTAAAATTTGTTTTAGGATTCTTAAAAGATTCTTAAATAAACTTAATAAGAAAATTTGTTTTAGGATTCTTAAAAGATTCTTAAATAAACTTAATAAGATCTTGTTGAGAACCTTTCAAGATCTTGACCCACATTTCTTGTAAAATTTTGGGAGGATTCTTACAAGATTCTTAAATAAACTTAATAAGATCTTGTTAAGAACCTTCCAAGATCTTAATCTTCATGTGTTGTAAAATTTTGTCAAGATTCTTACAAGATTCTTGTATAAACTTAATAAGATCTTTTAAGATCTTACAATGCTCAAACCTGGTTAAGATTTGTTCAAGAACTTGGCAAGATCTTATTAAGATTATTTAATAAGATCTTAGTAAGATCTTCATCTTAATTGCCATCTTATAAGATTCTTACAAGATCTTCCAAGATCTTACAAGATCTTCCAAGATCTTAATAAGATTTCCACCTGGGAAGTTAGTTAGAATTATTTGGAAAAAGTGACAGTGAAGTAGAAAGAAATTGAAAAGCTTTTACATGAGTAAGCCTCAGACTCTATTAACCCTTTAACTCAGTCTCAAGATTTCATTAGTAATTCTCTTTACTGTCTGCTATACAATTCATGTGATGTTTGTGTGGAGAATTTGGAATTGGATCAACCAATAATCCTCCACTGGATATTTTTTCTTTATTCTCATTACTTGTCTGCTTGATATTGTACTGATGTGTAAGGAGAAATTTTGTCTTGGTCACTAGTGGGACTTAAAGGGTTAAACTAACTTTAGACTCACTACAAGTTGTTTAGTTACTTACATGGGATGAGAATGTTTTAAAAATAAGGGAATATCTATCAGAAAATCAGATGTTATCAGCATTTATCAAGACTTTCCCAAGAGAGTTAACAGCCTCTCTATTGATTTGTGTTTTCATCTGATTAACCCTTTAACTCCCAGATCAAATTTGTAATTCTCCTTACTGTCAACCATACAATTCTTATAATATTAGTTTGGAGAATTTTTGATCAGATCAACTAATTATCCCCAAATTGATATTTTTCTTTATTCTCATCTCTAATCTAGTTGATATTGTATTGATATTGTAAGGAGAAATTCTGTCTTGGTCACTCATGGGAATTAAAGAGTTGAATGATCATACTACAAGTTATCATAGTCATTCATGGGACATGAAATTCATGCAGCTTCAAAATAAAAAAGGAACAGGTTTGAAACTTATGAGATAAATATTTCTTCTTCTTCTTCTTTTTTTGAAGGCTGGAGAATGCTTTTTATGATTTAGCACAGAGTTATTACCATGGAGAATGTAGGAGAGTTAAAGCCCACAAGGTGAGGTTGCAATTCTGGAAATTTAAGGGAGTAGGGAGAAGGTCAGGTTATTAAAATCCCAGCCAGGAGGAAATAACAAGCCTGTATTTGCTTCATGCTGCAGAAACTAGGGAGATGCAGTGGCAAATGTAATAAACTGTGTCCACTGTTGAATGGTCCTGGTCTAAAATTTATTTTCAACTGTCACTGTCTACATTGTCTTGTACATGTAGATGGATGACACAGATTGAAGATGAGGCCACAGTTTCTGAGTGTCTTGAATTGAATTTTCAACTAGTCAGTAAAAGGGGAAAAGATAGCACTCTGGTTAGCTTTTTGGACTCTTTTGATTTAACTGCCTTAGTTCAACATAAATTCATGGTAAAGCCATTGGGTTTTTTAGTAGGACACTCTCCCTGTACTAAGTAAATTTCTCTTCTCAGATCAAGGACAGAAAAGTACCAGTAGCTAAAACTGTCTGTTGGAAAATGTGCCAAAATTCTGGGTCATATACATTCCTGTATTCTTGTATAACTTGCCTGGTAGCACAATGTAATGTTTCTATAGATTACCTTTTCACTAGCCAGAATTACCATCAAAATAATTTTATGTTGTAGCACAAAAGGTAAAATTTTATCAATATACAGAATGAAGTGACACTTATTATGTTTTCATGCTCTTTATGATCATTAGGAATTTCTTAACAAAGGAACTCATCAGGTGAGAACTTTATTTTGCAAAAGTGATCTTTGTATGTCAATAATTTGATGTGATGGATTCTACTCAAACTACAGAACTACATTTAGTTAAAGGCTGAGGGAAAGAGTTACCAAGAATTCTAAGCAGAAAAAGCTTGTTGATGTCAGCTTTGAAGGGTGTTATTTTGAAATGTTTCTCATTCAGTGTCTTTTTTTTGCTGCCCTCTTATATTCCACCAAAGACATCGTTGACCACATTTTGCTTTGCACATGGCCTCAACAATTCATAAATCTCCTATTTTGCTTCTCTACTGTTGTTGTAGCTATTGTTGGTGCGACACCAATTCAAGGTTGCCTTTTTCAATGAGCTAAGACAAGACCCTCACTCTGCTATCAAGTAAGTTCGTCAGTATTTATTTTTTTATTGATCTTGCAATGACAACAATTACATGTAGTTGGCCAAAAGGTAGATCTCAGTGTTTCCCTTTTTTTTGGTTAAGGGGTCAGGAAGGAAAAGGAACTTTCAGGGCTGTAAGCCAACTTTCTGTTAAGAAACTTTTTTGAGAAAAGAAAATATAAAGAGGAAAAATAGAAATGAAAATTTTGAAAAGGAAACACTGTGAGAATATTAAACAAGCAATGCTTGGCTCTGAAATGAGCAGTGTGAGCAGCATTTGGTGTAGGATTTTCACAAGGTGTCTCAAGGTTTAGAACTAAGACAGTGGAGGAGAAGGAGCAGTTGTTTTTTTTTTTTTTAATGAAAGAAAATGACAGAGAGTGAAAAGTTGTTCCGCCCTGCCACATGACAGCCAAACACAGTTTACCAAATTGGCAACTCCTGCCACAAATTTCTTCCCCAAATATTTTCAGTCTTCCTTGCCTGGGGATCTCTCACCATAAACTCCTAAGTTAGTTACATTTACATAACATACAAGACATCAGCTGATTGATGTAAAACTTTTGTCTATTTTAACCCCAGGCATTACAGGCAAGCATACAGTCTTCTTGGAGAAATCAAGACAACTGACATGAACATACTAGAGATCAAAGTTGTTGCTGGATTTATTAATTACAAGGTTTGTGTTTTTTTATATTTTAGAACTCTAGTCTATTTATGTTTGCTGTATACCATTGTAATAATAGTAACATAAAAGATATGCTATGAAGAAGACATCCTACATCTTGGATGAGTTAAAGATTATACATGATCTCTTATTACATAATTTTACAGTTTTGCAATTATTTAAACTCATTTTCTCAAAAATGCAAGGTAATTTTTTTACCAGATACTTAAATTGTGCAGTACTCAGGTGTACAGTCAAGTAGCTCTTGAGTGGGCACTTGAGGGAGGTGGCCATTTAAGTTTATTTTAAAAAAATATAATCAGCAAGTTTTGAGTGAACTATGGTACAGTAGTTACTGGTAGTTATTCATTCTTGGAATCAGTTCTATATCATAGAATGTGTAGCTTACAATGTCTATGAAACATTACTTATCTCTCTCTGATTTTATAACAAACCTGTTGGTGACTGCTTACTAGAAACACAGTACAAAAAAATGTGTCCAACATTTTCTTATATGGTCACTTACAGGAGTGTTTTGGAAACAGTGACAAACAGAAACAAATTTAAATGGTTATTGACAGTCAGAGTAGTCACAAAAAAACCAAATATGTTTGAAAAAAATTTGATGCTAAATTTAGATTCAGTGATATTGGAAGTTAAATGTCCTATGGGACCATTATCCCTTGCGAAATGGCTTTTGGAATTCCTAGGAATTCCTAGGAATAAAGGTGTGAATTTTCACGGTAAATTCGGACTGGGAATTCCTAGGAATTCCTAGGAATTCCCAACCATAACAACTCTGGTTCTAAAAACCTAGAAATTCCTAGAAATTCCCAGAAATTCCCAGAAATTCCCAGAAATTCCAAGTTTATAGCCAACAGGACTTGGAATTCCTTGGAATTCCTAGGAATTCCTAGGAATTCCAACTCAGAGAACCAATGACTTTCCCTGAAAAGCTGTAAATCTAAAAAATTCCTAGGAATTTCTGGGAATTTCTGGGAATTTCTTGGAATTTTTGGGAATTTTTAGGAATGTTTAAGAATTACTGGGAATTTTAAGCAAAAATTTGAGGCTAATGATATAAAATAAATACTTTAAATAAAAAAAAACCCAGCTAAAATTCAAGTATTCAATGAAATTTATTTAGAAGCTTAATTAAGGCTTACATGTAAAATATTTTTGATTAATTAACATCAATGTGTGGTAATATTAGGATGGAATTTGATTTATTTTTCTTTTCTTGAAAACTTCATACGGATTAATCCTCAATTACAGCTATTCACATAAAATAGTTCTAATCAATCATTAAATTTGGTTTGACACAAATTGTGAATAAAATCTGTGGATTCTTTTCCATAAAATACAATATCTTAAGTTATATTTGAAAACCAAGCACTCTTGGGAGTGAAGGGGCTAATTACAGACAAATAAAATTGATTTTTTGATTTAAATCTTGTTGTAACTGTAACAATAAATTAGAATGAAGTTATCCTAAACTGCAAACTTAGCTGCTGTTTGTACTGTTTGTATTTTTTTTCCTGGGCTCACAATGAGTTGGCCTTGAATGAGGTTGTCAACAAGAACCTTGACCATTTTGTATCTGGATTCCTTGACATCTGAATTTGAAAAAAAATAATATATTAAAATATGTATATTTAAAGCTCGGACCAGGCTTTTAAGATGGCTATGAGGAAAAGGGCATTCATTGGATTCTCAAATTGAGAAATCTCTGTTATATTGAGTGACTTTTATATTGGAGTTAGTACATCTCTCTCATGGATTTTACTAAAAAAGGGCTGAATACATTATTTTGTTTTTACCAAGGAGGGCTTCTTTATGTACTAAGGTTTGTTTAATAACAGTTCCTATAATGAATCTTGAATGTTCCCAAACGTGACTAGAGGAATCTTGAAACCTTACTGATAGGTTTATTTCATTGTAAAGCATAAGCTTAAGAAACTGCGGCATGCAAGTGACCGATTCGATTCTCAGAATTATTCTAGTTTCAGTTGCGCCGAGCGTTATGTAAGCTTAATTCAACCCGCTACATCTATTCTTTTATAAGATTTTGATCACGTAACGAATATCGCAATTTTTACTCACCACAAACTTTCAAAATCGTAGCCTTACAGATGGCCACTCGACCCTTGTTTGTACCAGTCAATATGTCAACTGTTGTCCCTTCTTTTAACTCCACGGCGCCAACGACTTTCTTTTCTTTTAAAACACTCACGCTATTCTCGTTTTACCATTGAACCACAGTAAAAGCTATCTTTAGAAATGTTATATTAAGCAAAACAGTTGAGAAAAGCGATCAACTGATGAAAAGTACATTCAAAGATGAGCGCCAAATGGAGTCGTCTTTGTTTCCGATCACGCGCATGATCACGTGGATCGTTTAGGACTTGTCATTGGCTAGAAAAGTGAATCCGCTGGCTTGCCGATTGCAGTGTTAAGAGAAGCGCCTAACTTTATTCTGACTTCTCCGACCGGTTCTCTGCCTCTAGAAGATGGATAGCTTGGTGATATAAATAAAGATGTGAGCTCACTCTATGTAGAAATAATAGAAAAGAATCGATCGTATTACAAATGCACGATTTGTGGCCGAAAGTTGTCGAGGAAACAAAGACTCGAAACTCACTTGAGTTGTGTTAATGGCCAAGGTGAGAAATAACACAAGCCAATTACAGTTTTGAATGCGACTACAAATCGTCTTTTACCCTCATATTTATAAAAGAAGGATACCACATTCGGAAATATAAGAGATACATAGATGATCCCAGTGTACCAGTACCTAAATCTACAAAGCTTGACCGTAGCAAGCGTTCAGCAACACGTTCCAACACCACCATCTCGATTCCTCAGTCAGTCGTTTCCAATGAACTTAAAGCAGTATTGACAACAGAGTAGAGTGCGTCTTACAAAGGAGAAACATTTGTACAAGAGACAGGAGTAGCTATATGCGATTACAGAGGTGCGTTGGAACTCTGGTCCACAAATAGTTATGCACTACCCGAAGTATAAAACAATCTTGTTGATAGCTGACAGACAGAGAAGAACAACAAGTAAACTTAAGAGCTGTTATTATTGAAGTGTGACTATCACTTTTCATTTTTATATAAAGAAGGACTTGTAATTTGCACCAAAAATAAAAAGATGTAATATTTTTTTGGGAGATCCAGTGATTGGGCCATTTAAGAAATTAAGTTATGAAAGGAAACTTGATTGGTACTTCTCACTACTAACAAGTCTTGTTGACAAATATTTTCAGATCAGAGTTTCAAATAAAGTAAATTGAAGACGTCATATAAAAGGTGTTTTTCCTCTAAGGGAACATTGACTACCTCTGTCTTGTCTGCATGCCAAATGTTTGCAAAGTGTGTGGATGATCCACAAGTATTGGAACTCTTACAAAACATTTTTGTAAGAGTTCCAATACTTGTGGATCATCCACACACTTTGCAAACATTTGGCATGCAGACAAGACAGAGGTAGTCAATGTTCCCCTTTTCATATAAAAATGTTTTGTAAGAATAAAAACAGAAAAACAAATTACAGCAATTAGTCATGAAAATAGAGCAAAAAACTGAAAAAAAAAGCAGCAACAACAATCATGAAAAAAGAAAGATTAATTAGGTGTTGAATTTGTTTGTCTAAGGCATGAAATTTCTGCTAAAAGTATTGTCAACAAAAAGTCTCTGACAGCGTTTGAGGCAACTGAGCTTGACTGTTCCAAGGTTTTCTAACAAAGGCAACCAGTAATGTAGGTTAGGGAAGTAAGATAACAATGTAATTATTGTTAATTATTGTGGAAGATGGCAATTTCCGTTTAACATAACTGACAGCTGGTTCATGAGAAAATCCATATTAATGTAAAGATTTACTAAAACTTAGTTTGAGTAATAAATTTCATGATCTTTAAGTTATAAACATGTACATGTATGTATATCTCTTGGTAAGTTTTGTATAGCATACCTTTTATTGAGCCAAAGTTTTAAGCCTCTGAAATTACTCTTTTTCTTAAAACCTTCACATTCAAGGTATTGAGAATTTCTTAGAATTTATGTGGACCTCAGGGTATTAAAATTGCCTCAAATTCAATTCCCAGAAATTCCCAAGAGTTTCACACTTCTTAAATTATAGGTAGTTTGTAAAGCTGAGAATTCCTAGGAATTCCAAGGGATTCCAAGTCCTCACAAAACTGGAGTCTTCCTTTCCCAGAAATTCCCAGTAATTCCAAGCTTTTAAAATCAGAGTTAATTTGCATAGTTGGGAATTTTTGAGAATTCCTAGGAATTCCTAGGAATTCCCAGAAATTCCCAGAAAACTGGGAATTCGGTTTGCAAGGGTCATTTGCATAATTGGGAATTTTTGAGAATTCCTAGGAATTCCTAGGAATTCCTAGGAATTCCTAGGAATTCCCAGAAAACTGGGAATTCAGTTCGCAAGGGATATTGGGATGATTTATTTCCCTCCTTTGACATATATTACAAAGACTTTTGAGTTATCCTGACAATGGAACAGCATTGATCAATTTGTATTAATCATCTCACAGATTTGTCGTCATCAGCCCCATTAGATGCCATATCACAATTCAGAAAGCATGTGGATTTGTTTAAGGAAAAGGTTGGCTGCCCTGACTTAGCCTTTGAACACTCAGCCTGGCTCTCCAAACAGTGAGTATTTTTTCTGTTTAGCCTCCACACTCTTAACTGGAAGGTCTGTATTCAGTTTGTTTTTTGGGCACTTACATATGTACAGCTAAAGTACCTCCCTCCACCCCAGAGTATAAATAAGTATTGGCCAATTATGAAGGGAATTTGATAAAAATGCTGGGGGTGGGGGTAGGGGCCTTGTTGAACACCCAAAGCAGCAGGCTTAGGAGAGGCTGCAAAAACCTGATTTTTAGGTTTTGGTTGAAGGTGGGCATTGCCTGCCTTCATTTGCCAGCCTGGTTAAAGAAAATGCAGGGGATTGAATGTTTAAGCTTGTGCCTGGATGTAGCCCGGCCACCAAACAATCCAAAGGTACCTTCCAAATGACTCTGTATGGAAACCTCAGTGGGTGGAGAGGGTAGATTTTTAAAACCCTTTGGTTGACTGGCATTTTTCTCTGAGGCTAGAAAACACTTGTCTTATTCCTTGTGGTTGAAAGCCTGCATTTCAAAATTGGTAATCAGCCTTGCAACCTGTCACACTTCAACCACTGAATAGTGGGGCATGGGGATGTTTGGTTTTGCAGTTTTTAACAGACCCCAATGCCCTCCTCACTGAGCTAACACTCCATGGCTGGAGGGTGTTTGCCTGTCAAAAGCATGCCTTTGGAAAAGAGAGCTCAATTGACATTGCAAGGGTTAATTGATTGAAAGCTGGCATCACCCACCTTCAAATGAGCCTGGCCAAAGAAAGTGCAGAGGGGTTTAATGTCAGAGCTAGTAACCAAATGCAACCCAGCCACCAACCTTTCCAAGGGTGGGTTGTAAATGACTTTGTGTGCAAATTGGGTAGAGTCGGTTTTTGACTTAAAAGTTACGGGGATTTGTTTTTTCATAAAAGTGGACATCTTGGTTGAGTTGTTACGATGCTGGATTTGTTTTAATTACTTTGTCCATAAATTCAGGGTCAGACTCATACTTCATGGCATCACTTCTCATGCACTTAATCATTTTGGCTGGGGGTGGGGTGGGGTTAAAAATGTTCAATTTTGAAAGGTTTTTTTCTGTGATAATCACTTTGAGTTTGTTGTTTTTTTGGGTCTGTTTTGGTGAATACACTCAGATATAACTAGATATATACATGTATATACATATACACATACATATATACATATACATATACATATACATATACACACCTGTTTTGAAATGTTGCCATTTGAAAAAAATACATGAAATATAATAACTTAATTTGTTTTCTCACCAAGAAGTATCTCTTTTTCTTTGTTTACTATAATAATGAACTATATATAATAAGCCATGTATGAATAAGGTTGAAAACAGTAATGCACCAATAAATTAAAAACTTAAAATCCCCTTTTCACCATAAATTTTCTATTTACATCACAAATTAACTTTCTAATGATTAAATGCACCATGTCTCCAAATTGACTGATACATATTTATTTACCATACCCAGCTTATGAAATGTGATCAAATCTTATCAATCCTAACAGGATAAGCATACATTTCAATTCACAGTTCCTTACTTGCACATAACACAAAACATCCATTAACCCAATCACAGCAAACCAAACATCCAAAAAATCTGCAAAATGTCTGTCAACTGAAACTTGTGTTGAAAAGAAACTTAACTTAAGTACTCAGACTTGAATGCATTTTTTTCTTTTGCAGAACTTGCTACACAAGCTGTAATGAGGAGAAGAAACGCACAATTACAATGTAAGAATATAGAACTTTATAAAATAGCTTTTAAATTACCATATGCCACAGATGGCATAGAATCCTGAGAGAAGGTAAGTGTATTCCCTTTTAAATATTTCTTATACATAATGAGGCTAACTACATCAAAATCACAAAAAACATGTCAGAACTCACTAGTGTTGACATTGTACTAGCCATCATACTATCCCTGACCAAGCAATTCTGTTCAAAAATACCTTACTGTTAAAAAAAATCATGCACATTTCAATATTTTGAAAAGTTTCCCTTCAAAACCAAAGTTAAAAATATAGAAATTTTTAGTTTGACTTGAAAAACATTAATACTGTATATATTAAATGAATAAATCCCTTTAAGGTCTTTATCCTTTAGCTTTTATATAAAAACTTTTAAAAGAATATCTTGTTCCTTCATTACCCCATTCTTTTTAATCTTTCCTTCAACTTCTACAGCAACTATCTTTTACTTGTCTATCAATAATCAGCTAACAAAATAAATATAACTTATCAAATTCTTTCAATTCATTTCTAGATCAATTTGAGGAAACTTAGGGAATCATTAATAGTAATGATTCAGAATTTATTGATGACCTTCAACACCCAACTCAATTCCATTGGCAATCTGTTATGCCAATCACCAGCCATGGTAAGTGGAATTTTTAAATCGATTCCTAGAATTGAACATTACCATTAAAGCTAAATGATGGTAACACTTTTCAAATAATTCAAATAGAAAATACAATGCATATTGCTTCCTTATCACCATCATAGCATTTGTCTGGACCTTAGAACTTCTCCACACTTGTAACACTATACCTGTATAGAGAGTGGATCAAGTACATTAAATCAAAATGTTCCAATTGATGAGATTTAATGCCTGACTCATTTCACAACCTGTGGTACAGATCTTAACCCTTTAACTCCCAAGATCTCATGAGCAATTCTCCTTACTGTCTGCCATACAGTTCTTGTGATGTTAGTTTGGGGAATTTGGTATTGGATCAATCAATAATCCCTGATCAATATTTGTCTTTATTCTCATTACTTGTCTGCCTTGTATGGCATTGATATTGTAAGGAGAAATTGTGTCTTGGTCACTGGATCATGGGAGTTAAAGGGAACTAACAAAATTCTTTAAAACCCAAAGTGAACTTTTGGTTTAGTGAAAAACCTAATTCAGGGCAGTATAACACCTTAATTGTGTATTCATTTGATCATTTTTCAAAAGATTATACAGTCATTAACATTACAAATTAAATCTAAAAAACAAGTTTCCTCTGTAGATCTTGTCAACTACAGACATTTAACCCTTTCCTCCCTAAGATCAGTACGAATATTCTTCATACTTCTCTCTAGACATTTCCCAGGGTTCTGACAAGGAGAATTTGTTCAACAATCAGGAGCTTCTTTAGTTAATGATCATTTCCTTTATTCTCATGACCTAAATGTTTGGTTCAAGGGTGATGTTGTTAGGAGAAATTAGATGTTAGTCACTCTTAGTGGTTGAAGGGTTAAGGTGGATCACATCATTTTAGAAACAAATTATCTCTCCTATATTTCACAGAACTCACAACAAAACAGAGTCTTTGTTGATAATTTTTTGGAGGTGTGCAAAACAGTAGGTTTCAACTCATATAGTTTATTATAATTAAATTCAATGACAACTACAATTAGACAAGAAAAGCAATTACCATTGATAGTCAAAACACAAACAAAAATTTGCATTTTACACCTCACACACCTTTGTGAAGTTCCATGCTCACTTTATATATCATGTACTCCTTCTGATGCACTCCTGTTAATGACTTCTTTTTCCCACAGTTTGCCACATCAAACGTTGAAAACGTGTTGACAATATCTGACGCAAATGAAGCTGAAGATAAATAAACAAGTAAGATTCTGCTTCATTTTATTTTCAAATTCTCAACGGTTCCTCTTGTAACTCAACACTAGGTCACGCAACGCATGACACTAGTCTTTCATGAATTAATTTCTTGCTTTTTTCGGAGACGTGACCTTGGGATGCCTGTGGTCACACAACAAACTTTCTGCCATTTCTCTTGACACACACAAGTCACAAAGAGTTTTTCGAATTGGAAATTTAAATACTTGTTCATTCTGAAAAAGGATCTAGTTGAAACCCATCAAATGAGTCCGACAATTGCTTTAAAAATTTGTATTATTTTAGGTAAAAGGTTTGAGTATCTACGATTTACGCGAAAAACATTGACAGAAACACCAGTGTTAACGCAAAATGTAATACACAATTTTTTAAATAACAGCCAAGAATACAAGTTCAGTGGTAATTAATAATCTTTGACCCCAAAGAGTGACTGGCATCTAATTTCTCCTTACACTGTCATCCATAAATCACACAGGAAGGTCATGAGAATGAAGGAAATGATCACCAACCAAATACAGCTGTAAGCTCTTCATCACTTGATTACTTTCTCTTTCAGCAACAAAAGTTGGCTCATGGCGTCAGAAGAAGATAAATACCAAAATAATGTTGGTCCTTGACAGCCATTCACGTTCCAGTTCACTATACTATTAATTATGATGTACCGTAAATAAAACGTTATACATGAGTAAAGTAAAAATTTTGCAATTTTTTGCAAGTCAAAGCTTGCCAAAAAGTTTTGCAATTTAGAAATTTGCAGCAGTCACATTACAGCAATAAATCCAAAGATTTATTAATCAAGAGATGGTTCGCTTACAGTTTGCAACTGTTGAGTCAGGGATACACATATGAGGTTGCTAAGCTCAAAAGAAGCGTAAAAGTCGCACAAGGCAATAGCCAAGTGCGGTTCTAGCTTCTTGAGTGTTTCAATCATTGAGAGTTTCAAAAGTCTTTCGATTTGTGAAGGAAAAAAAATGCAAAACAAGCTTACGTCAGCATGCTACACACAGGCAAATGAATTGAGCAAATTGACCAATCATAGCGTAAGGTTTTGTGAAGCTATGCTATGAAAAGATCTCGTGCGAATCAGTACTGCACAGGAACGGTTTTCCTTTCAAGATTGGCAAAAAATTGGGAACGTACAAAAGAGTTAGCAACTTTTTCAAATTGGGGGTTATACCCATTCTATCTTTGCTGATTTTTTACTTAAACAAACAAACAAAGGTGTAGCGCGATCTGGCCTTAACACTAAGTACTTTAAATTTCCTTTTGTGTTACTTTATGTTCAACTTTATAACTTTACAATGATTGCAATGATAACAATGCCCGTCGTATGTTTCGGCCATTCGCTGCAACAAATCGGCTGCGCAGTACGGTAGTTCTCCCATGGCAACAACTTCGTTACTAGGGGACTAGTGGTCACCAATATTCCCCCAGCAACAAGCCGGTCTAGCACTACCAATTGCCTTGTTAGGTGACACATTTTTGCCAATATAACTCCATGTAAATTGCTTTTAGTGTCTCATGCCCTCTGCCTGATAAAATCGAATCATTTCAACACAAATCATTCATTTAAAACGACGAATACAATCTAAATAGAGACGTTACATTCTCTAATTTGCAAGTCTTTAAGAAGAAAACACCACGTATAAGGGCCCAGTTGCACTAGGCAAATTAAGTTCATTTTACAGAAAAATCGGTCATCTCCTTTGTGAGACAAGAGCGCTCGGTAATTTTAAATCCTACCAAATATCAGTCTCGAAAGTCATTGTTCTCATGCTTCGAAGCAGGACAAATTTGTGTCAAGCGTGAAATCTGATAGATTTTTCAATTTACAAGCCAGAACATCAAATAAAGAGCGTGTAAATTTTACTTGCTGAACGCGGCTACCTTTGAGAAAAGTACGTCGTTAAAGTTTAGTTGTTCCGTGCGTGAAGCTTTCGTGCCCACCGAAGAGCGCGGTGAAATAAGCGTCGAAGACCTCTCCGATCTAAACAATTTATGATCTAGATATCTTTCGATGGTGAATACAAAAAAAATTTAAAAAATACAGACGAAGGAAACGTAGCCATTGTAAAGAATAAGATACCCAAGTACGTTGTGGTCTATGAATCATATACAGAAAAGCATTTTATATATTTATCCCGTATTACCGATGAGTCAAATATTCTTAGCTGCTACCACCACTTCTATCGAGAATCTGCACGCAAAGACGACTTCTGCCGGGGGCTTCAAAAGCGGATCTGAAGAAAACAAAAAGCAGCGCGTTGGTCCTACAGTTCATTTCGATCACAAAGTGATGGCACCTAATCTGCACTTTGTCTACTTTGAATGTGAAACCTCGTGTAGCCTCCTCATTTCCATTTAGACAGTACGCTCGTCCCAATTTCAACCTGGACACAACCGATTGGCACCTGTTACAGATACATGTCAAGTGCTTTCCTCACCCAGGAAAAGAGCCTCTCACGAAGTGCTTCAACTTCATCACCAGCTGAACAAAATCGTTGAAATTCTTGCCATACAGCAAAAGAAAAATTCTCGTACCCAATCTCAAGTCTCTGTTTTCGATGGTGACCGTCTCAAGTATGAACCCTATCAAACAACTTTCAGGTTCCGTGTTTCGCGAGAAGTCCACGCCTCACGAGAAGATCACGCGTATTCAAAGATACAATAGAGTAGTTTCTAACTTAGATTTCTCTCACTCGAGAAAGGAGAAGTTCATACGTAAATCACGCTTGAAGTCGCATCCAATGCTCTTTAAGTAACCCAGTAACAAATTTACGTGTTACTCGTCAATTTCATTCTTTTTTTTTTTCTTTCGTTCCTTGAATTCTAAACTTTTATGATTGTAAATTTCCGTTTCAATTTATCTACTTCTTCGATCATTTGACACTCGCCGCCAATTAAAGCGCGTGTAAATTTTACTTTGTGCACTTTTGTTTGAAAAGACTATACAGTTATGTCAATGTTTTTCATTCTAAATACAAAAGACCCGGAAAAAAGAAAAATGAGAATACAAATGACATGCTCAGAAATTTCAATTCGCTCTTACTTGTTACACTTATCATAATTTTACGTTCCAGTGTTATTAGTGTCACGCGCAGGCACCAACATACGCCCTCCTGTAATTCGTGCTTGACTTTCGTATATGTAACCAGTGCAGAGCATCACATCGTGCACGAATCCCACACTTACATTCTAATTAAAAAAAAAAAAAAGTGTTATATTTCTTGACCACAGCCATCGATCTCACCTTAAATGGTTCTTGTTCTTTCTCATTTACAGCACTTGCTTAATACTCACACAATTTTCGGATTGCCGGACCCTGTTTCTCACACTTTTGATCATGCCAATGTAACTCTCAATCTTTTAAGTGACTCACAACAAGAGCTCAAAGTACCGGACAATTTGATGCGACGAAATTAGCTTTTGAGTTGACAAAACGAGAAATTCGTTCGTTTTTTTGTTCTTTAACGGTCTATTTTATGAAGGCCCGTTCTGGTTCCTTTAATTTAAATCACTAATGTTTTTTTTAAGTTATTCTTATTTCTTTTTAACTTACACTGCGAATTATTTTTCACCTGATTATGAATTATTTTTTACAAGTAGCACTCAACGGGTAATTGTTTTCTTTTTTTTCTTTCCTCTGGCACTGAGAATTATCTTTCGCGGTGTAGATATTTATTCTTTACGGTTTTATGAATTAATTTTCAACATGTTGCGAATTCATTTTTGGTCTTACGATACATTGCGTGCCTGGCCCAAGTGTTGACTTCGCCACGGCGAAACTCTGTCAGAGAAAGAAATGAAAGGGGTTTTAACCATTTTCTTACAAAATTTGGAAGGATTAGTCAGTCTAAGCTCACGTGATGAGGTTTTCTGAACCGAGGATTTAATCGAAGGGACTACACTGCGGCTAAAAGACCCGTAGACAAGTTTAAATCTTATTGTGGATAACATGGCTTCCTAAATGGACTATAGCCTAACTAAGCACGTACATCGTGTGAAGAGCTGTGCGCAATCTCTTTTAAGAATTTTTTCTATTGAGTTTAACAACTGCATATGCTTCATTTTATTCAAGCCTGAACTAAGCCCTTACATCGTGTGAAGAGCTGTGTGCAATCTCTTCAAATACCTTTTTTTTATATTGTTAAACAACTGCATCTGCTTCATTTTATTCACAACCAAGTCCAAGAGCAGACTGCGAAGAACCCAGAAGGAACAAATGGAATATTTGCCTTCTATACATTTTTCATGGGAAAAAAATTGTACAGCTGCTTCACATAAATGCATGTATCTACGGTTCAAAGAAGACGAAGGACATTTAGAGTATGTGACGATTTTGAAAAATATTCAGACGTAAGTGAAAACGAGTTATATCAGATCTACAAAGAAACAATAACAGCTGATACGGATGTCAATAATGGTGGATTTCTTACACCAAATTTTTTTAGGAGAGGATTTATTGGAGTGTTGAGTAGTAGAGGATTGCCTGTTCAATGCTGGAGAGTAAGCAACTGTTTACAACGCTTAGACCCCTTAGGTACAGCTTTAAGGTGGCAGTACGATGGTAATTCATAGTTGAAAGTACAGTGTTCCTACACCCAATTCAATGTGACATTTTGACGCGGCCCACAAGCTAATCAGATGAAAACTGATAGTCCATGTTTGTGAAGAAGGATTTTCATGTTTGATTACCCTCTGCAAGTGCTGTGACAATAACAGGGCTGAAAGTGTATTGAGACTCTTTGAGGAGGGCACAAATATCATTGGTTTGCCATCAAGAGCACTTGCGTGAACCAAACGTTCCAGCGCTCGTTCATCTCTGCAATGTGTAGATTAGTGAACAACAACCAAGTGTATATATGCGTACATAATTCTATAGACTATTAGCTTAGTTTTTTTTATCAATTCCCTTCAAACATGTACTATAGTAATTTTAAACATTTTCTGTATTTATTGTAAAACATTAAGCAGTTCAGCCCTTTGGCTGTAATATGATATTTCAATAAACTATCTATCTATCTATCCATTTGATAATTTCTTGTGTAGTGTGTACTGATCATACCCATACTAAGAGTTGATACTTATAAAGTAAAGCATATAGAACACAATGGAGGTACATGAATAAAGTCATACCTGCACTTAGACCTGTATCTTTCTGAGATTTATCTCTTCACCACTTATGCCTGCTCTTTATTCAGGTGAGTCAAGCTGAGCTTATTGTGCAAAGTTTGTGCAGTTGCTTGTCCAATCTGATGTTCTGATGTTCATACAGGACATCATAAGTGTAAAAAGTATACTTTATTAATAACTGATGAGGCTCTTTTAATTTCTAAAAGTTTTTTTTTACTTATAAAGATTCTTGCTCTATTTAGTTAGATTTATATCAAAATTTCAGCTGTAGGTTTACAAACAAACCGCGATTTAAGATGTTAATAAAGAAAGAACGTAAAGAATGGTTTAAATATCTAAATATATATCCCTACGAAGTTAAGAGCCCACGACTGTAAATGTTGAGAATCGCTGGCCAGGCTAAAAAAATCGAAAGTTCTGCTAATTTGCCTGGAAAACCCTTTTAGGGAGATATATTAAAAAAAATATCTCAAAGTTTGAAAAATCAAATGTGTCCGAGAAAATGGGGAAAAACGAAAATTTGGTTTTTTAGCTTATTAATTATGCAAAAAATACAGTAAAATTGACCAACTTTAGTGTGCTAGTACTGAAGGAGGATGTTTCGTAAGAAATCGGGGATGTTTTT